GATGATGTGTTGTCCACATGGGAGCAGGATCTGCAGATCTGTCTCTGTCCTGAACATCTGCAGGTCCCTGAGTTGAGGGAATCAGGCACTGAATGAAACTCAGCAGCTTCTTCCCCAGATCAAAAACACAGTGCCCACAAAAGGGAAGAAGGCAACCTACAAGGACGCACCATCTCAAAGAAACAGGGATATTAAGACTTACTGCTCTGACTCCTTGGAACAAATGTGGCTTCCAGTGTTGGCGACTAACGGGCGGTTTCCTCTTTGGCTGGCAGTTGGGAGCAGAAAAATCTATCTAAAACTGCAGCTGTACAACAGACTTCCTAAAAAAGCCATCTACTTTGCCAGCCTTGGCTGAGGAACTCTTCGAGTGTTTAGCTGAGCTTCCCGTGGCAAGCACAGCGGCATCAGGCATAAGGACAAGTGTGTGCCTGACTTAACAGCACCTTACCAAATATGCAATTACATGTTTCACCATAAACACTGGAGCTGCGTGCCAAAGCAGGCTATAAAGTTCACAAAAGACTTTGCCCAACTTGGCACAGGAGCTCCCAGCTAATAATTTTTAGACATTTCTTAGCATAATGTCTTCCTGATGCCCAGGGCCCGTTCATGACACGAATCGAGGAAGGCCCAGAAATGCAGCACAGGCCAGCCACATTCGGCTCTTCCCACTCCAGCCTTCATCCCTCCTGTAAACCGACAGAGACTATTTGCTGTTTCCTTAACGTTCTCATCCACCTGAATTTATACCCCTTTTTTCTTTTTCACTTGAGGGTTGTTATGTGAAGCTGCTAACTGCTCGTCTGCACTTGTTTATCATCCTGAAATCTTGGTGCCCATGGATCTGAAGGTCGTGGTTGGACTGCTCGGGGAAGGACATCCCATGTACAACATACTTTTGGGACTAAGGCCTTGGAAATTTTGTAATCTTTGCAATGGTAATCACAAAGACCAAAACCACTCAGTTATCTCTGAACACCCTGTCCACAGACACCAAGACAAGAGTTGATCAAGGCTGCAGGGGGGTTACTGCCTGCAGAAGCCTAGATGAGGAGGAGGCTAATGTGTATGCCTCAAATGCCATCAGGCTGTGGGGCCAACTGTGGATTGCTGGTAATAACAGCCAAGGATTGCTAGTGACAACACAGTGTGAGAAAGAACAGCATGTGGCTGGAGGAGGGGCCATATGGAGGCAGGGCAGCACATTTCTGGGACAAACGTCCTTGTTCTGGCTCCTGGAGATAAACACAACACGGCACAGCGCAAGCGCGGGAATGAGGTTGAAAAGGGGGCATGGGCTGTAGGAGGGGATCAAGACCACCAAAGATCCCTGGAGCACTTCAACCCATTTCCAGGAAGGCCTAGGAGAATGGACTGTGCATAAGCACTAATTTGCACAGAAAGTGAGAAACTTATCTCCAGGGCAGAGAAATTTATCTATAAAAGGTAGCCACACTGAGCCCAAGGTGCACAGGCACCCCCAGGACACCCCAGCTGGATTGATGCTGAAGTCAGGACTGGTGATCTGTCTTTCTCCCTCCCTTTCTTTCATCTTTAATTCATCTCTCTGTTCCCTTTCACCCTACTCCTCTGTTCAAATCCCACAATGGTGTACTTTTATAGCAGGTCCAGGACTAACATACCAATTTCCATGTGCAGTGTGTGATTTACTAATACAAGTTTGTAAGCTTTTGCAGACCCTCTGATTTTTGTCGTTCCTTTCAACTATGAGCAGCTGTGAATCTCAAGTTCTCCCTTCCCCTTAAGGCTGGGATGCCACACTGACAACTTTAGCCCGGGGAAGTGGAAAACAGGGAAATAAAAAAATATTGCACCCAGAAAGTCCACACAATAATACAAGAGAGTCTCTTACTTTAACAGCAATTTATTATCGTTAAAAGTAACAACAAGTAGTTTTATATCTTTTTGTCTTAAAAATCTAGTGTAACATAGTGCTACAGTTCTATGAAACTTACAGCAAAATTGTATCCCCAAACCACACCGTTCTGCCTGGTCCTCGCAGACATCACCGGTGTGGCACACGAACAGCACAGAAACGGATTGCTCTATACAGCGATGACCATTAGGCCTCGAGATGCTACAAGTTACTGTGTAAGAGCTATTAAATACAACTTCTTTTTCCCTCCTTGTTAATATTGTTGGAACAATCATATATTTCACAAAGTTTCCGGCGACACTGTGATCTTTTAAGGACTGTATTTTATCTCCGTACCTCTTCCTGCTATAGTTTTCCATTTTCTTCTTCCCCCCGTCCCCCCCCTAGTGACATGCCTGCCCCATCCAAGGAGACAAAACCAAGCACATTTGCAGTCACTCTGCACACAGCATCACGTATTTCCTTCACATCCTGAAGCCAGGGCTCAGCTCTAGCCTTTACCTTTAACACTGCTGCCAGAACAACTTGGCAGCACACAGTTCGGGAATAACACACGCTCACGTTTTAATCTTCAGCTTCTTGGGAGCTCTAGAGCTTAGGTTAAGTTCAAGCTAAGTACCCAAGATAGCTAATTTACAGCTATTTCAGATTTGTGTAAAGGAGCAGCAGCCAGACGCTGCAGGACAGATGCATCTTCACATTACACAAAAAGGCCTGAGCAAGTCGTAATACTGCTTGTCACCAGCTTGCAGGACCAAAAAAAACCAGAGTATCGACAGGCAAGCACGCGTGCTGGTGAAAAGGAAGGATGGTCCTAATTCTGTCAAGCATTTAATGTGTTGAATTCAAGCTTACAATGTTACCCAATATTCAAAAGTAAGCAGAAGCCTCTGAGTGAAAACTGTTCTGGCCATCAGAAATGTACTGAAGAAACAGAACATGGGGAAACTTCGTATGGGCTTTCAGATGTGGTTTGTGTATGACTTCAGGTACACAAGACGGTCCGCTCTTTAGGAGCAGACCCCTTAGACTGGATGGGTAATTCCGCATGAACTTCACAGTAGCATGTGGGATTGGGAAGCTCAAAGGACACAAATCATTAAGCAGGTTCATGTGCATCTATATCCACTCTGGGTTTAGAAAACCAGGGGAAAATTATAAACACAATCATGGGATAAAAAATATGGAGGAGATACTAGATCAACAAATTCTATGAATGGACTCCAGTTATTGTACAACAGCAGTTCACACTCTTCTCTAAACAGACCTACAAGTTAAACTGCAGGAGAAAGGGGGGTGTTAAATTTACTCAATTAAAAATTAATTTTGGAGTTTGCCCTCAGCTGGATTTCTCAGGAAAATAAAAAAAAAAACCAAAACAATACTTCCAGCAAAACTGTGAAATCTTGTCTTACCTAACATCCTAAATCACTATCTTGTTTTCTAAATGTACCTAACAGCTTATAAATATCCTATGCTTACTTGATAATACTTTAATGACTTTTAAGTGAGGTAGCCACTAAACTATCATCAGTGCCAACAAAGCAGGAAAAGCTCAACCAAGAAGCTCAAGAAAAATGAGTTTGCAAAAACCAATAGCACTTGCTTCCAAAAACGTAATTTTCTGTCTAACTGTCCTCCTCCTACCCTTGTTGCACTTCCTTTTTCTCTTCTTGTACACCTCTAACAAACAGCAATAAGGAAAAAATTAGGTTTCTGTTGATTTGTAAAACGTTTCTGGATTTTCAGAAACACTGACACTGAAGGACAATCTCTACCCCAAACCACTGACACCTCATGTTCCACCTCCGTCATCTTCCTGCACATACCTAAGTGCTAGAAGCTGTGGAAAGACACTTGCATGGGGAAAACATAGAAATTGTGAAAAGGTCCCTTTCATCCTAAGTTTCATCCCATATATGTAAACACGCTAAGAATCATCTGTCAATTCACTGTCTTTCAAGTACTCAGGAAGTTAAAATAAAATTGCAATCATCATTCTTCTAGCTAAAAAATACATTGATCTGTCACATCCTGGACCTTTCTAGTGGTGTTCCCTGCTTAAAATGAAAGTATTTTCAAATTGCAATGGTAGCCTGTGCTCAAATTCAACATGAAAAAAAAAAAGATCAGCTTTAGGGATGATTAATACCTTGGTATTTTTGAAAACATTTCCAGGATTTCTTTGTGGTCCCTTATCACAGATATTTTTCAAGGTAATTCAGAACACCTTCTATCCACATCCAAGTCAACCAATCAACCAAAAAACTCCAACTGGAAATCAAACACCCCAACATCTGAGCTGTTTAGTAATTGTACTGCAGAATGTACATTCAGGTTAACATCTACACTGTTCACGTATGTGGTAGTGAAAACATCCAGTTCTGACTTCTTTTTTTTGATTGCTATCTGAAACTTGAGGGTCCCCTCCAATCAGCTAAATGTCTTAACACAACTAAAGGAATGCAAACTCTCATTTCGGACACACTGCCCTGACCCGAAGCAGTGCAGAACACTCTCCTCCGTGACAGATTCCCTGTGTAAACTCCCAAATACAAAAACAAAATGGCATGAACTGCAAGCAGCTGTACACAGTGCAGTTCAAGCAATACTGGAGGTGCTACCCTTGCTTTTGTGAAGCATGTGGACAACAGCAAACTGCGGGGTGATGAATGACTGTAACGCGGTCTTTGGGTTTCTTCTTCACAGAGACACACAAAGCTACTTTTATTTCAAAACACTCTAGCCCACAACAGGAAGACATCAAACAATTCAGCCATGATAACTGCACTGTGAAGAATTTCTGAATTTTCTTACGCTTGTCTAGATCACTGAAATGGACTTACTGTTTGTAGTCCTTTACTAGAATTTTATTTTCGCAAACCACAACACACCAGAAAGGTGTTTCTTGCTTTGATTAGATACAGCTGTTCATCAGGTGGAAGTAGATGAAGGTAGTTTATTACAACATAATAAAACTAATCTCCTCCTTATGAAGCACATGTAATGCACAAATTAAAAATTCCAGTTAAGCATTACCACACATCAACCCTTCATACTTGTATGAGCCAACCAGCTAAGAAATTGTTACTGCTAAAACTGTACACAGGCACCTTGCCATATCATACTTACATTATAGTTCTCTTTTTTAAAACATTCCACAACTGCCTCTGCTTTTGGGCCATTTCTGTCCATTTCATCTGTTCAGACGCTGTGTCACCACTTCTCGGTACATGATAGAGATATAAATCAGCAGAAGAAAAATGACAAAGAAATCATCCAAGAAACCCAGAATTCCAAAGAGTGCTTCAGGAAGAAAATCCAGAGGTGAAGCCAGGTAGAGCAGGGCTCCAATTAGGCAGAGGAATATTCTGATGCGAAACATCCAGAAGAGGCCCCCAACAGAAAACATCTCCCTGAAAGCATGTCGCAGTAAAGTGGGCAGATCCATAATTCTTTCCATAATCTACAACAAAACCAAAAGTTAACACTTGGCTTTAGCAACACATCCATGCTAAACTGAAACTTCTGCTACTGCATTACAGATTAGAAACTCTTAGTTTATAGGAATTAAAACAAAAACCAGTAAGACAAGACCTGACTTAGTTTTGTGGGGTAGTACGTCAGATTTGGAATAGATATGTTTTCAAGAAATAGTCAAACTGTGTTACTGTGTGATGTAAAACATACATCACTAGAAAATACATTGCCATCTACTATGAAGGAAAAGCAAGGCCTACTGGAGGAAAACAAATGTACTAAAGAACCTTTAAATTAATCCATTCTTGGCTCCTTTCTATTTTTCTACTATGACTCTGACAGCTTAGTGAGTGACTGCTCCACAGAAAATATTCAGGTTTCTGTTGTGAAGAGGGGAAAGGGGTGAACTTCTACACTTTTTTTAAACCTGCTTCTTTCTACTATACAGTTCCTACACAGGGCCATTAAACTCCATTAAAATGAGTTATTGCCAAGGCTAAAAAGACTTTCAAGAAAGGAATTTCGTGTGTGGTTAAGGCAAAACACTGTGTATAAATCGAAGACAGTTCATCTAGTCTAATTAGGGCTTTAGTGCAGACTTCTGGTGAGATCTCAGACAGGTTACTGGGGACTAGACACAGAGCCCACAGAGAGGTCTAATGGAGCCTGAAAGGTTGTCTCAAACTATTCTGGATCAAAAGCATAACTGCTTTGTGGCTTAGAACATAAAAAAAAAAAAAAAAAATCTCCCTTTTCTGTCTCTTTGGACTGTAAATTTTTCTTGCTGATGTTTTCTTACTATATCCAAATCCAATGGACAAATGAAGACAAGCAGGGAGTTACTAGCATGTGCGTGCGTGCGTTTCACCTTGAGAATCAGAAGACAGGCTCATAGGGTTGACATTCTAAAGTTTGCATAACTTTGACCATATCTCTTAGCTGTTTATAGAAAAAAAAAATCAGGTTTTCATCACTCAGAGAGGAGAATAAAGACTGCAGTATAATCTATAAGGAAAATTAAAAAGTTGAGACAGCATATAGCTTGAAATCTGAGGAAGAAAGGCGCAGAGTAGAACCTTTTCTAATCAATGTAAAGAGAATAATCAAATGAATATTTTTACTTGCAGGTCATGTATTTCAGTAAGTATTTTTACTAATTATTGATCCTTTCAAAATAATGACTCATACCTAAAAAACAGCTTAACACATGACCAGGAAACTCAAGGCTTATTAGCAGTCCTCACTTACAACGAAAACACAGGTTTCCGTACATTTCCACAAATCACAAATAAATAACTTTGAGGTCTTGGGTTTGACCTAACTGTATAAATGTGAATTTCCTAAAAAAAAAAAAAAAGACTTGCCTAGGACCTAGGCATCATGAAGAGAAAATCCATATCCCAGTGAAAAAATAAATAAAAAAGGAAGAGGGGGAAAAAATGATTAAAAAATGCTCTTAATCTCTCCTAAAATCACTGACTTCTGCCCAAGTTTACCCAAAACTTACAGATCTGGGCTGTCCAGAGAATCTCCGATTGTAATCACTAACATCTTGAAACACTTGGTTTGCACCCTGCTGATCTTCACCAAAGAGTGGTAAAAACAATGTTACCTGGGTACAAGAGGGAGATTATGTTACATGTGCCACTGTCTTTTAAATGCAGAGATTGTGAACCATAAATAAGAACAGTCATCTTTAGTTAACTACACAGAACAAACTTTGGTTTAGTTGAATATTTATTGGGTGAGTAAACTGAAACTAAATAAACTAACATGGATACTGCTATTAAGTTTTAACTAATTAATTGCTTGCAACTCTTTATAGAATATTAATTTTTAAAGAGATTGTTAAAAAAAAAGCCCAAGAACTTTCCTTTTAAAAAAGACTTACAGATATTTTTTCTGAACACCTAAATGTTTTATGTTTCTTAAGTGGGACAGACGATTATGAGAACAAAGTCAATTTACCAAATTAATCTAATTTTGTTTCTTAAATTGAAAATCAAATAAAGCAATCAATGAGGCCTTTATTTTTCAATCTTTAGAATGGCCTTGTATGGCAACAAACAAGCAGCAACACTTATATTTTTGCTTATGGGTATTCATACCAAGATGAAGGAGAATAATACAGAATAATAAATGAACAAAAAAGATTTCACTCTTCAGCTCTTTTGCAAGCACAGAGAATTCCGCTCTGTTGGGTTAACTTTCATGCAAACATAGAGCAATATGGAAGGACATATTCACAGAATCACAGTATCACAAGTCCAACTCCGCCCTGCACAGGACCAGCCCCAAGAGTCACACCATGTGCCTGAGAGTGTCATCCAAACTCTTCTTGAACACTGTCAGGCTTGGTGCTGTGACCACTGCCCTGGGGAGCCTGTTCAGTGCCCAACCACCCTCTGGGAAAAGAACCCTTTCCTAATATCCAACCTAGATCTCCCCTGACACACCTGCATGCCATTCCCTCGAGTCCTGTCACTGGTTACCCCAGAGCAGAGATCAGTGCCTGCCCCTCCTCTTCCCCTCACAAAGAAGTTGTAATTGCTGTGAGGTTTCCCCTCAGTCTCCTCTTTTCCAGCTGAACAGACCAAGTGCCCTCAGCTGCTCCTCACAGGGCTTCAAATCAAGGCCCTTCACCATCTTCATGGCCCTCCTTTGGACACTAACAGCTTCAGATCCTTGTATTGTGGTGCCCCAAAGTGCCACAATATTCACATATATCTTGAATCTGTATGGCAGTCAAATTTAGAAAATGGCAGCATGAGCAGATCTACATTCAACTCCTAGCCCTGCCACAAACCCTCTCTATGACTCATGTTGTTCATGTGTACATACTTCCCCTCCCCATTTATAAATCAGGGTGAGAATGCATACGTAACCATGCAAGCAGCACCACCTAACTTACCTCGTACTCAGAGGAAGGTAAATGAATATAGATGTGAGGAAAGACACTAAAAAAATCATTTACTTTCCCCCTTCCTCACTTTTGGCTTTTGTGTCTTTTTCCTCACTGGCTACACTCTAAACCTACACCTTCTCCCTCCAGCCATACCTATTATTCTTTCCTTCATCTGTGTTTTTAGAGTCATTTGTCCTGCTGAAAAACACAGTCAAAGCAGGATATAATGGAGGGGCAAAGGCAAGAAGAAAGTTATACAATTCATCAAAAGTTAGCAGCTTTGTAGTTTGTGCACTGTTATAATATACTTTGGTTAAAACATACACTATCAGACTCAAGAGATCCTAGGAAAGAGTTAATGAGTTGCAGGAACATATTTCAAACTGACAATATAAGTAAGTTGCGTAGGAAGTAAGTTAATGCTTGCTCTACAAAGCTCAAATTAATAATACATACAAGCTAAAAATAGGGACAAAATAAGAAATTGACATGGATAGGTTTTTCTGGTAAGGAGAGAAGGAAGGGAGAGGGTACTTCTTAGAAACCAGTAGTGCACTGCCTACTGGCAGTCTTCCACAACAGCCAGGCCTCTGAGATGCAAGTTCTCGTAAAGAATTTTTATTACATCCCAAACAGAAAGGACCATTGTTAAAATCTCACAATTTTCTGTTTTCATATACTCCTTTACAGAAAAACTGGCTGACTTATCAGTGCTGTTTGCTTACATTTGAGTTGCAGGAACAATCTGTATTTTTTGAGCCAACTGGCAATGCAAAAAGTTCAGAAAAACTGGATGTCCACTACTCATGTCTCACATATCTCTCTATTTAAAGTCAGCTTCTCAGGCTTCTTCATCTGTCAGCCTCACTAGTGCAGTTCACATGTAAGTGCCTCGAGGCAAGCTGTGCTAGATAGCCAAATTGTCATGTTCACAATTACTTAAAATATTACCGTCTGCCTGCAGATTGGACAACGGATGGCACCGAGCCACGAGCCGTACCTCCAGTAGGCAATAATGCAGGAACCTGGTGGAGGCAAGTCACAGGCATTTAAACTTCTGAGCTGAAAAACCCATTACACACCAAGGAAAACAACAGAAGTGCAGAAGCAGTTAGGTTAAATCTACATGTTCTCACGTAATTTTGTATACAGCATTCACTGAAGATGCCATGAGCCAACATGTTCACATTCAGTGCTATTAATGAGAAAAATCCTGAACAGGATTCAACTGAGTCATTAATTTTAAGGTATTACTTCCTGAAAACAAAGCAAATTTTTTGGCCATTAAGAAACAAATAATTAAAATTTCTGCCAGTTTAAAATGTAGAAATCACAAAAATGTCAGGAGATGTAAAATTTATCCAAAAAACCTGGCTTTATCACCAGAGTTTCAACAGATGAAGAAATATATCAAAATGTGAGTACTTTAACTGTTCTCCTAACTTGTATATTTTTTCATTTAAACAACTAGGCATGGTATGCACTATATGCTCCATAAACCTAGATTAATGCAGTGAAAGAATCCTACTGGGAACCTGGAAGAGAGGAAGCTAAATGCTATGTAGGATGTTTATCTATAAATTTGAAGAGCAGGGCCACAAAAATATTCTCTGAGATAAAGATAATACCAAGCAGAGTGTTTTACTCTTTCTAAATCAGTTTTTCTAAATGGTTCATTTCCAAATGTTTTTCAGCCTCTTCAGTTTTCTACTACAATGGAAAAAAATTTTACTCTTTGACACTTTAAAATTAACCACAGTTGAAGTCCTGATGGCACAGAAAAAAGTGAAGCACACTTTGAAAGTGTCTGTTTACTCACAAATGTATTTTCTCAACTATTTATAAAAAACTGATTTCTAATGCAGACCAGAAGTCAGTTAAAAGCAAACAAAGCTTTGAATTAGGGTGCCTGTACTTGTGGCAGAAGTTTGTACTCCTGTTCTGGTTTTATCTTTGCAGCTGGGAGTTCTTCTTGCTTACCACAGAAGAGATGCCCACAGTTTGTTTCTATAGGAAATGTAGCCTGTTGCAAACAGACTGGACAGGACATGTCTGTATAAAAGCGATGTCGATCACCAGCAGTGGCATCCTGCTGGAACGGCAGAGAAATGCAAAGTGTTAAGAGATACTATATTTATATAAGTCCACTGGGTTTAAAATAATAATAATAAAAAATTAGCGTTCATTTACCACAAGTCAAACACAGACCTATGTGAAATGAAGGAGAAATACACTTAAATGCCGAAATCAAACATACTTATACGCACTGATTCACTGAGCAAGTTCTTCTTGTGACCAGCCCATTATTTTCCCTTCATCTGTTATGTAAGTCTGTGCTTCACGGTTGAAGACCACAAAGAAAGAACCTCCTTGGTTCTTCACATTGAGTTAGGCTAGATATGCTGAAGCATAACAACCTCAGATCTATATTGTTATGTCATTATCCTAGACAGTAGATTTGTCCAGAACCAGGTAACTGAACTGTGTTGCTTACCAGCTGCAGCATTTAGTGTTTTCAAGACCAAGCACAGACACCAGTTTGTGTACGTCACTGCCATGAAATAGTCCTTCTCCTCATTTTGCCCTATTTGTCTTTCCCATAAATATGCTCTGTCATTACTTCAAGAAGCACCACAGTGAAAGACTCTTCTCAGTATTCTCCAGAAGAATGGCTTTTCACTCTGGGGCTGGTACTCAGCAATTGCCAGCAACCTGGCCTAGACTCTATCTGTCAGAACTAGATGCAGTCAGAGACTCATGGAATGGTCTGAACTGCACCTTTAAAGATCACCCAGTTCCAACCCTTCTGCCATGGGCAGTGACACCTTCCACTAGACTAGGTTGCTCCATGCCATGTCCAGCCTGCCCTTGAACACTTCCAGGGATGGGGTGTCCATAACTTCTCTGGGCAACCTGTTCCAGTGTCTCACCACCCTCACAGGAAAGAATTTCTTCCTTATGTCCCGTCTAAACCCACCCTCTTTCAGCTCAAAACCATTGCTCCCTATCCTGTTACTGAAGGTTTTGGTAAAAAGCCTCTGTCACTCCTTGTTGCTTGGCTCTTGCTGCTGTGCCATTGTTCGGCTACACACTGTTTATCAGTCTAAACATCTAACCCCTGCCCTGCCTCGGCAACTGTGCTCCAGATTTCCTTTCCTTCACCACTGAGTTCCCAGGAGCACTGCAGGAAGCGCACAGCTTCACCCAACATACTCCACCTTGTGGCAAAAACTTGCTTGAGAAAAAGAACCTGCCAAATGATTAGTCTTAATTACTTAATGCACTCATTAGGAAAAAAGCCCATGTTATCTCATTACTTGATGAATTTCAAAGATGGCTCTGTACAGTAAGTAAGCTTCTATAACCAGCTTCTTCCAGAACCACAGCGAGGTTCTACCCTACCCCACTTCAGAGAGCAGAATGATGGCAACGCTCAGCACAGCACCTGCTCCGTCTGAAGCTGCTGACGAAGAGCTCGCACTAGCTCTTGGTTTTCGGGATGTATGTTCTGATGTTCATTTCTGCGAAAGGAAACACGAGCAATAAAAAACACTGTGACCCGACACTGAAAAATAAGCCATTGGAAAAAAAAATATGAAACTTGTACAAAGGGCAAAAGGATCATTCTTTCCTGCTTTAAAGGGTTTTAAAGGAAGTACACAAACAATTAAGGAAACAGGACATTTATTCTGGATCCTAAAGTTACTTTGGACATTTAAAGCTGTATAGCAGCATGATTTTTCAGATAGACTCCATAATCAATCATTAAATCATGTTAAAACTAGATCTGAATCTGAAAAACAATTAAGCCATAAACCAACAAAAAATGAAGTTGCTTGAAAGCTTTTATATTAAACATGCAGAAATAATTTTCATTTATGTCTCCACTGCTAGATTTTTACTTGTTGCCTTACTCAAAAAGATGTATTAGCTTTTCACTTACTGCCTAAGTTACAGAGCTGAAACCCCCTAACTATTTCAATTTTATCTGCTACATAACATTTACATAAGAAAGGGTAGACAAACTCTTAGATTTAGAATGTTGAATTTATGTAACTATCAGCAGACTGGATATAAAAAGAAATCATTCTTTTAAAATCACTCTTTTTTTAAAAAGAAGGACTCTACAGGCAAGAAAATGACAGGCTGGAGATGCCAAGAGGAATCATAGGAAAGGGACTCACTGAAGAAAGGAGGATGGATATATTACAAATTTTAAATTCAAAAGCACAATGGGAACTGAATTGGAGTTAAAAAATACGCTGGCAACAATTTTTATGCTTTATTTATTCATATGGATGTCAACGGTGGTACATTCTGCTCAGCACTCTAGAGGTCTCAGCTGGATTCTGTTCTCCATTTTGGGCTAAATGCATAAAAACATATAGAAAAGTTGGAGGAAGTTCAGAAGAGTACAAGAACTACTGCCCACCTTTTTTAAACACTAAAGAAAGAAAGAAGAAGTGTCAGTTCATATGGAAGACTGTTCTTGGAGAGAAAAGGGGACAGGATAAGGCTTTCATTCTATAGATACGAGCAATTATTTCCCACAGTTATCTAAGGCTCATGGAAAACCATTTCTTTACTGCTAAATGTACAAAACCAGAGAAGATCACTTCAGGGTATTGTGATCTATCCCTGACTAGAAGTTAAATTAAAAAAAACCATTTTGCAATGCTTCCAGTGTCATCTAGGCAAGCTGATCCTCTATCAGCGGTGAGGGCTGAATTTTTAGGATATTTTTTGGTTGCAGTTCTGTTACAACATTTCAGTGGCTCTAGGGGCTTCTGCAATATTTTTCTTCATTTAATGCAGGCAATCACAAAACTGCACTACTGCTATGTTTGACATTTTGTCTACTTCATTCTTTCTTCAAGGAGGAATAAACAAGCCCCGTATTTTTCATGCTAATACTAACATGGCTATCTGTAAAGGGTAAATCTATCTAACACTAATGTGGGTGACACATATGGAAGTTATATAATGGGAAGGCTCTATTAAAACTCTTCTTACCCACCCTGGGTCTCCGTGAGTCAGGTTTTGTGGATGTTGGCTGTCATACATGCTACATGTATAGAAGTATTTTCTTGTTTAGATGCTACAAAAAAGACCGTATTTCACACCTTCAGTTTGCCAGAACTTTTGATACATACTGAAATTCAATTCAATTCACACACAAGTAGAAAGTGTGAATTATAAGCAAGTTTAATTTGATTTCTCCTCAAACAACTAATTGCAAATTTGCTGCTAAAATGTTGATTTATATGACTTTACCCTAGCATCACATGCTAGTCTGAGCAGATGAGAGCATTTGTAGAGCTGTAGAGGTACAGCACATACTGTCACTTATGCATAAGATGACGAGGTAGCAAAACACTGTGCAATATTCAGGAGGGTGCAGGCACAGCTCAAGACATATCAAATTCACAACTCCCGTCATGCAATTAGAGTGAGAAGCTAAATTAAATAAATGAAAACCAGCATGGTGCTATGCAATTAAAGGTATTATCAAAAATCACAAACCAGAAAGAAATAAAGTAAGATGCAAAGGCTTTTCATTTCTCCCCTTCGGAGTGCTAGCACTCCAAAACTTAAGGAAAAAAAGTCCCACGATGCGGAAAGATTGTATTATGCGCCACAGAAGGCCCCACCAAACTACTATTATTGGAAGGAGGAAGGCTGACTGCTTATACTGTGTGCACTGCCTCACAAGAAAAGTGAGGGACAGTACTTATGGGGACTGGTGCATCACTGTGCAGCGATGGCCACTGCTAATTTTCAAGGACTAAGATCTCACTTCTGCTGAAAATAAAAACTTGATCTTATAATCAAACCACATGATGGGATAGAAAAATGAGATGGAGCAGGTAAGTCATCTGGGACAAATATGGAATCTCCAGAAGGGAATTAAAGGGTCAGTCTCCCTTTAATTTGTTGACTAGTCTGAATTTTTAGAGTCTCACTTGTGACAACCTGCTCACCGGTTTTAAAGATGATGGAAAAAAAAAATCTGGCTTCATTTTATCAAAATGCATAGTTCAAAAACATACATGCTTTACAAAAAGCCTATCATATAATACCTGAACTAAACATCTGCAACTTGGTACATGTGTTAATTATGGCTAGTAAGTTTCTCTGCCAGAAGCACGACCCCCTTTGGCTCGTGCCATGATGTGATGTTTCACTGAGTTCTCAGCGCTAGAAACAAGTACAGCAACCACATCTCTTAACAGTCCTTTCCATATTCCGCTTCTGCCTCCTAAAATATACTGTGACAGCTACTCACCTACTTTCCCTTTTTATTCTGTTGCTGCAACTGTGCATTACCCTAAGCGCTCTTTCATGTATTCTTACCCAGGACCTGTTCCTACCCAACTTAAGTATTTCAGATGCCATGTAGAGAAATATGGGTGACAAAGAGACTGGGCTAATAGGCACAGTATAAGGACCACACAGACCACTGTAATGCCTAAGGTAACAAGATAAGAAAAAGAAAATACCCTTCTTCTCCCCCACTGTGTGTTAAATAAATTAAAAGTACCACAGTTTTTTTACTGGACAGATTTTCTACCACAGTGTGCAGATCTTGATGGTGACAATACAAAGGAGGTAGAGGAAAAGTGCTGCTGAACACAGGCAACTTCAGAAAGTACCAAAAGGCAGAGAGGAGAGATAAGAGGATGCTGGTAAGCCTGTCAGTCATCACAGAATCACAGAATCATATCATATGATGAGTTGGAAGGGACCCACAGGGATCATCAAGTCCAACCTCTGGCCCTACGCAGGACATCCCAAGAATCACACCACATGCCTGAGGGTATTGTCCAAACACTTCTTGAACTCTGTCAGGCTTGGTGTTGGGACTGCTTCCCTGGGGAGCCTGTTCAGTGCCCCACCACTCTCCGGGTGAAAAACTTATTCCTGGTACCTAATCTAAACCTCCCCTGACGCAGCTTCAGCCCATTTCCTCGAGTCTTGTCACTGGACAAGACTCATGCAGTGCAGAAATAAACAAGCTTCCAGACTTCCAAAGCCTGCAAGCTTTGTGTCTGAGTTTGTTTACCCCTCCAAAAAACAAACCATACACGTATGTAGCAGGATCCACAGACAAACCTTTTACCTAGGTCATTACACTGCAGAGGTAGTTAGTAACTAGCCCTTATCTCCCTCCCTAAGTAACCTTTCATCATTGATGTATCTCCTCCCTGAACTCCAGTTCTGACTGAACTCCTGCTGCTCTTGCCCACTGCTGACCCTTGTTCCACTCTCTGGTTTTTTTTTCATGTTCCTAACTTCCTTAATAAAGTTCGAAAACCAACTGTTACTTTTGTAGTATTTTAAACCCAATTTTTAAACTAAACGCAATTCAAGTCACAAACGCCAAAAATGCCAACATAATGGACAGACAAGTCCTTAGAGAGCAGAGAAAAAAGAGGACATCTTGAAGCAACCTGAATAACTGGAACAGTTTTGGGGAAAGAAGGCAAGGTGAAGTGAATATGTTTCTCTTAAGATTTCTTTGTGGTCTCCTGGTCCTGGACAGCAGCACTGCCTTGCGGTCCAATCAAGCTTTCCCATGTCTAGTTTCCTCTGTAGCTTGCTCTCAAGTAACTCCTACCCCTCTAATATTTCTCCTACGGACATGTCCTCCTCAGTAAATTTCATAACGCCAATGTGTCACTAAAATTGAGTTCTCTCGGTTGTAAAAAGGATTCTCTTTTCAAAAGTCTACAGACATCCATAGAAACAAAAAGAAAAGAAGCCAATCTGAAGCTCAGACTCATTTTCCCAAAACACACAGGCTAAGATATTTGCTAATTTGCATAGAAAAACTCTGAAATGAAAATAAGCTTCGATGACTTGACCATTAAGGGTTATTGAATTCTGAACTTAGTGTTTTGTTTTATGGAAGCATATTAAAGTCCACTCTTTTAACACCATATATTCATCTATAAACAAATCAATTTGTTTGAGTTTGGAGTTTTTTGGTGGTTTTTTTTTTTTGTTTGTTTTGGTTTGGGTTTTTGTTTGTTTGGTTGGTTTTTTTTGGAAAGAGACTGCAACTAGAACCTACATTGGAGGATTATGTACAGTTTTAATTTCGGAGTCCTTGTTGACAAATTTGTACTTTGTAACCAAATATGACAGAGCAGCAATATAGACAGTGAATTCAGCCATTTTTCAGTCTTAAGGAATGATGAGAAACGTACCATCTCATTCTGATTGCGAGTTAAACCACGAAACAGAGTAGGCGATTAAACAATCACTTCCTTAAATGTCAAAAAGTCACAGTTTTTATGCAGCAATGCAAATATCTGTCGAGAAAGTCAGAATTTCATAAATGCAGGTATGGGGATTAATTCCTGTCAACATATTCTCACCTTAAAAGCGTATATACCAGAGCAGCAATGAAAGTGAAACTGAGCACAACTGCCACCAGTACCTGGTCACTTATTCCTTCTATAACTGAATCATTATCTAGCTTCAAACTCTGAACTTCTGCTTGGTGACTGGCCATCACAGCTCTAAAATGTAAAAAGAAACACACACATATACATATATATTAAAATGTAAGTGTGCACACATATACTTTAAACTTACTTACAAACAATATGTATATTCATCTATTCATACACACAACAAATTCCTGAAGAAACAGCATAGTCATTTCTGGGGGAAAAACGTTGGGGTAAAAACATTGCTGGGTAAAAGAAGAAGGAACGGATCTACTTTTAATTGAAACTGAGCTTCCTGTAGAGGTCTTGTGAAGTAGCAAGCAAATCTTAAATGACTGTGTTGTGATTTAAAGATTAAAAAAAAAAAAAAAAAAAATCACTCAATTTACCAGGGAATCTTTAAAAATAAACTGCATAGGAATAGGTCATTACTGAATTGGACACATTCTAAGGACAGATTATTTAAAAAAATTATAATGACTCTGCATTATCAAACATTTTAGCTATTACATGTCACATAATTTCTGCTAGGCTATGCCAACATAGAAACCTAATTTTCGCTACTTATGTGAATAAAGAAACAAGAACATTTGGCATTTATCTGTTTTTAGTGTTTAGTGCCTATTTGCATACACAGGAATTACCCAATGCATTATCCTTTATCTGTCTTATCTGTGCTTTACCATCCTTCAGCTGGAAACATGGGGAAAACTTGGAAAAAAAAAAAAAAAGAATATTATCAGGCTTTCCTAGTTAGACTCATTTGTTTTATATTAATTTCACATATGTAGCCATCAGAGTGACTGGCAGATGCTAACATTTATTAACCTACTTCACTAACCTACAGCTGGAGACCCGCAAAATAAAGTTTCCAACACACTGCTACATCATTCCTGCTGCAATCACAGTGAAATGAACAACAGCTGCGAATATTATGAAATCAGAAGGGTGAAGCTAACTCTGGCAAATGGCATAAAGAGTCATACTGAAGCTATGTCCATACACAATTGAGGTATTTTTCAAACGGAACTGACATCAAATCCCAGTATCAGTTTCTGGAGGCAGGTAAGACTGGTATCATTTGCTCTGTTTCCCAGTCCAATTGTGTGTGCGCCTTAAGCTTGAAAGCTCTCATCAGTGTTCCTCTGCACTTCACAGCCCATGTGTCATTTTTTTAATTTAAACCTTGCTGTGTAGCAAACACCACCAGACACCCTCTGGCCCTGAATTAATTGCAAAACTGAAATGAAATACAAGTCTTTAGGATTTTAGTGGATACCTGGAATGACTACTCGGGCAGTATTTCAACACGCCAGTCATTGGCTAATTTGGAAGTGTCATCTTTTCCATAAGACAGCTAGTCTCACCCTCCTGATTTTCTCTAGGACGAGCAGTGGAGCTTTTTTTCCCCCAAGCTTCCTTACACTTGTGGGGGCTCCCCTCTGTAGCAGCAACACAAGAAAAGCTGATACATTCTAACAGCATTGTTGAAAAGGGTAAGTGGTATAGTACAATAAAGTACTGTAAGAGCAGAGCAAACTCATGGAGAATGGAGATTCCTTTAACGTCGTGTTTTTGGGTTTTCACTGTGAAAACCAAAATGGAATGACGAAGCATATATAAAGTGAAACAATAAACTAAGTTATCGTAAGCGTCCCAATCTGAACTGAGACTATTATTTCTGTAATTACAGCCATAAGTATTTGCTAATTACAGCTTTCCATAAGCAACCGCGTCATAGTCTAACTACTGAAATGTCATTTAGTATTTGGAAGGAGTAACTTCTCCCGAAGGTGGAACACCAGTGACTCATCAACAGGCGTGTTTAAAGTAGGTCAGTATTAACACAAGTTTCATATATACGAATGAGTAAAAGACCAGATCTTTGTGGAGAGGTCTTACATGGGAACATGAGCCTGCATGAGGAGTTACAGCATTTCTCTGCGTAGGTAATTACACAGTCATATTCCTATAGTTAAAGCCATGAGGCTTTAACTACAAGGAGATGTTGTGCAAGTTTTCTGAGCAGCAATTCCCCGATGCTGAGGATCTGCACTAATAGGTGTGCTGTGATGCCTCCCCAGCTCAGTATTCCCAACCTGCATACCTAATTTCTTTGCACATCCAATCCTGAAGAGGCTCCTCTCTCTTACAGTACACCATTCTGGGTGTATTGTAATATAATAAAAGTCAAAATATTGTAAAATAATAAAAGTAATTTTCCACAACTGTGCATACTGATATCTTCAGTTCTTATATTTTCTCTCCTTAAGTACCATCACCACTCCACTAATTTTTACTGTGTCACACTGTAATTTCTGAGTTGACCACTCAGAACAAAACCAGAACTAAATGTCAAGGAACTGGTACGTGTTAATCCCTCCATTGTGCTGCATTACTTCTGTTAGAATAGACCAACATGCCAAGAACAACTACATCTCATGAAGTATTATAATTTTTTTCTTTTTTTCAGAAATACACACTGTGGCAAAGACAAAGATGACTTAGCTGTCCCTTTGGAAGGCAAAGGCACTCTAACACCTAAAAGGCCTCCTCCACTTGGCGCACTTTGAAACCAACACATGTATTGTCAATATCACACCAACTTAACTCTGTTTCCCTGAACAACCTTCAGGTCATCCACCCTGGACTCTCTCTCCCTCTCTGTATATTCCTTGCAACACTCTTAATCCTTATCTGCCTACCATTAATAGCACTCACTACATCTGCTTGCCTTCATTTCTGCTTATGCATTTCTCTTGAAATACCAAGCTACAGTGCAAAGGTTAGCAGCAGAACATGAAAAACAAACACACCTCACCTTCTCTTCCTTCTTGCACATAATGCCAGTTATTTGTATCTACTTCACCTCTTCACTTCGTAACATATATGATTTTACAAGAGCCATTTTCACACAGTGTTCAATAGATATTCTTGCAAAGTCTTTCTTGTTACATAAAACACCACTTCCTCAGACACTTTGTCTTCGCTTATCAACACTGCAAAGATGTATAGAGCGGGAGTGGAATCCCTGCCTCAGTCTCACCACCTGCTTCTATCACTGAATTCTAGAGAAGACAAGCTATCGATGCTAAAGGCTCATGTTGTTCATATTTTAACTTACTTGCTGCTTCTAGACAGCCAACAAGTGCTGAGCATATTTTCCTCATTACCTCTAGAGCTTTTTCTGAATCAGATCATTGCACAGGAGAGCTGACGAGAATTGTGTGGACTAGGAACTACAAACAGAAGGGTATCAGTTCAAAAGACCAAAACACACTTTCTCTGAATTCAAGCCTCAGCAGAGACAGTAACAATCTCCTCCATCTCCTGTATCCCTGAGTTAGCATGTTAAAAAAGTAGTGGCTACAAAGGAAAACAATGCTAAAATACACTATTAGAAAAGAATGCCTGCCTGAATGAGGAAGGAATTTTCTGATTTCAAGTCTGTTTTGAATGTTTTCAAACAAAATATTGAGAACTGCAAGCTTGCAGTTCATATTTTTTAAGGTGCAACCACAACAGCCTATGAAGACTTTACAGTGGTTTGCATGCGTGATAGACCAGATAACAGCACCAAAATAGCTGCTGAGCTCTCTTGCCTCATAGTGCTAGTGTTTAGCAGAGGTGCTCTTTCAGGTGGTACAACTAATAAGCAAGATATGGGTGATTTAACTTTTAAATAAAGTAATGAAGGCGCTTCAGTCTCCAGAGACAACCAGCATTCATAAAGACTGCATGCCAGAGAAGACTTCCAGAAGCAACTTTTATCAAAGATATCTAATCACTCCTAAAATAGTAATTGCTAATAACCTGATACAATTTCAGAGCAAGCTGATGTGGTTTATACTAAATTCCATAAAAACCTATATAGGCATACACTCTAGATATAAAACCTACTATAGGTATATACTAATTCAAAAAAATACATATATTGGTTATACTTAAGACTTTTTCTCTTTTTAGCCATGTCTTTCTTAAATAAAAGCACAATTCTGCCCTCTGTCCCAGTTATGTGATGAAAACCAAGCCACATCCAAATATACTCACATCAAAACTGCAATTTACACAATCAACTTCGGAATGTTAAAAGTAGCAGTTGCAAAGTTTAAAAAACTGACAAAAATGTTGGGCCTTTTCCCCCACGTTAAAAACAGCAAAAGAGAGGCCTAAAAATTAGTTTCCAGTTTTATTTCATCTTACCCTCAGTTTACTGGCAATTGCTTGAAGCAGAACAATAGAGAAAGGGGGAAAAAAAAGACAAAGAACTACTCCTCCATTCCACTTGGACTAGCTAAGTTACAGCTTGACATTGCAAGACTGTACTTAGACTGGGATCAGGTTTATCTGCATCAGGATTCCTGATAGCTACAGAATGTAAACAACTTCAGACTGAACTGTCCACAAAACGCTTGGCAATAGAAAGGAATGTAATTTGCTGTTTGCAAAATCATGCGATTTTGTTTGCAAAAACTGTCAGAAACTAACCAGTCTGAACACAAAACCATCTTTTCTACTACCAGTTTTTCTCAGAGTGATCACTGACACACAACGTAACACTAATTTAGTTACCTTTCAAATAAGAAGCTATACACCCTTCAAAACTTACATTTTTCCCTCTGTGGTTAGGTATCAACAGTGCTTGCAGGTTTAAGCAAAAAAAGGAGAACTATTATGAGCAACACTGCAAGTACAATTTCTTTCATTCTTGGAAACTCATACAGATCCCATGGAAATGTCAGAGCATGAGGACATACACCAGTGTGGATGCATTCTTTCTTCATTTTAAAGATTTGAAAAGTATCATTAAAATTTTTAATGTTCAACAGACAGCACAGCTGCAATATCCCATGCCATGGTTCATAAAGAAATTAAAAACCATACAGTGTTTACCATGATACGTTAAACACTTGTTGTCAGTTATCCAAAGTGAAAGTATTCCCATAGTTTTCTGAAGGATTTGAACTTTTCCAAGTTTATCTGGGAAGTACCATATGCTAATACACTCTCAAAACCACAGAGCGTTTTAGAACCCACTACCAAAGGAATGTGCAAGTGCAGTGAAAAAAAAGTAAGAGGCTCTCTTGATGTCTGAGGAATTAACAATGAGGTAACACACAAGCAATACTGCTGTGAGATACAAGTTATTAACTTTATTAACCTACGTGTTATTAACCTTATTGTATTGACTTTGAGGGTAGGGTACAATCTGCTCAAAATCAGAAAGGCAGCCTCTATAACTTTGTGTCCTTTTGGGGATGGACTGGTAGTGAACGGGATGAGGACAAGGGGATTTGGGAGTTTTTCACTTATTCCAGTTTTATTTTGAGTGTTTTCCTCCTGATGCAGTACTGGCAGCCACCATCACTACTTGAAAAAAATTATAAAGTTAAGACAGTGATGGTGGGCTAGTGTGCAAATCAGAGCTTGCAATTCCTTTTGTCAGTTGTCTTTTATTACCAAAAGCATCATCCCTGTCCCTTAAAAATGCTGCTTAATTTGTAGAGATCGTGTGTTTTCCAGGATAAGGTAATTCATCTCCAGCTAGTAAAATACTGTGAGTCACACTTTCTCAAGAACAAACAATCCTCAAAATTTTCTTCCATGGTATGAGAAACAAACAAACAAAAAAATTGGTTTAATTCAGATCAACATGTTTCTAATAAGATTGGCCTTTTAGATAACATGAATCAACTTTTAAGAATTTAAACATAACTAAAACAGAGCATGTTCTGTAATCCACCCTCTGAACACATATTACCTTATATTGAAATATCTAAGGCATAAATTTAGCACATTTAATTTCAGAGAAAAATAGACAAAAGTTCCCAAAATAAAGACAAATTCTTATATGTAGGGCAATAATTGAGACCTCTCCCATCAGAAGTCATCCAATTACTTTCTGCTTCAAGTTAGAAACAGGTCACAGCCACTGTCTGTGGTTGAGAATGGGACTTTGTGAATGGATTTGACCCAGCAAACTGGATCCCACAGTTATTAATGTTCCCTTTCTGTAAGAGTTCAAATATATGCCCAGACTGCATTTGGAAAGAGTTAACATCAGCAGGCATGAAATACACATGATTAACAGTAAAAATATTGAAGACTCTATGAGTTTACTGGCCCAAATCCTAGATCAGCTAAATCCTGAGATGATACATTTTATCCAGGTTCTTTAGTGTACCAAAGTTGGGCTTTGAAATAGCGATGTAGGCAAATATAGCATTATAAACCAGAAATAATGGCAATGATGGATTGTGTACTCCAAAGAAATGGTTCTAAGGAAAGAGAATTCATTAGCTGTTCATTTTTGTGAGCACACTCTTATTTGAATAAAGCATACACAACAATCTCTAATATTAAGTATCTCCATACATTTTAAAAATCAGGAGGAGAAATCCAAAGGGCACATTTATTAAGGGAAGTTAAAAAAAAATAAAAAAATATAGCAACCTATAGCAAAAGATACATTCTGTGAGAAGGTTGCTAAAACTGGACTTGGGATTATCCTACTAGGATTTCGTGCAGTATGTTAATGCATGATTACTATGAGTTCGCAGCAACTTTGGAGTTACAAATCAGCTCAGCTAGTACAATGAAATCACAGCCAAACTCAGCTGTATACAATATTCAGTTACATCTTCACCGTGAACCACCTTTGCTTTCAGGACTGTGCTGACTACATTCATGTGCATGCATGCCCCTCGCAAAAGAGAAAGCAAAGGGCCTAAAGAGTCTTGCCCAGAGAAGGGGAGGGCAATTTCAGAAAGCAAATAATGATTTTGTTCAGTCTACCTTAGGAACTGACCAGCTGAGGCACTTGCCTGGTAAAGCAGGTTTCTGCGGGGTCTGAGGTCAGCAGTCTCTGAGGCACATTTTTTCCTAAAAAGAAAAGAAAAAAGGAAAAAAAAAGAAAGTAGGTATTCTATTTTGCTGATGGAATCATGCTTCGCAAGTTAAAAATAACGCAGATGCAAACTCCAGATGCAATGCTGTAAGGGAAAATAATACTAAGTTATGGCACCATTCTACTGAGAAAACAAAAAAATCTCCAAACATTTTTCTTATGAGCCTGAAACCACATGGATGGCTTGAAGTAAAAAGACAAAGTCAGTGGCCTGTACAGCATTACTACTCTGAGTATCTGTCTGGGTGATCCATGGCCTGTTAAAATGATTCCCAGCAAAGTCTTGCACTGCTTTATAATGCTAAAACATACCAAAGGTATAGAGTTCTAAACAAACCAGAGGGTGAAACTGAATCCATATGCAGATAGAAGCATGAGGAAGAGCCTGACAATGCCTTCAGTTTGGATATCTGACTTCCCTGATCAGGCAGGAAGAAAAAGAAAATATTGTCACTTAATTATAATAATGTTTACTGAAATATGGTAATACTTCAGCTAAGAATGAAGAGGCTCCAAATCTCTTCCAGGAAAAGTGCCCAAGAATTCCTTATTGTAGAAAGCAACACTGGCATATACGACTTCACATCAAAAAGAGACAACAAGACAAAAAGCAATTACTGTATTTGTTTGTGTCAACAAAATACAAGCTACACCTCGTGGCAACAAGCAAAGCAGAGTAGGAAACAGGATCTAAAGGAAGACGTGGCAGGAAACCTTAATGAAAAATACTGTGTAAGCACTGTCTGTCGAAAGTACCAAGGATATTGCTCAAAGCGCACACCAAAACTCGGTGGAACGGAATGTTACAGTTGTGCAGCTTTCTAAGACTTTAAAACTCATTCCCAAATGTGAAAGCTACCTTTAAATGCAGAGAGATTCGATTTATAACTTAAACAGCATGCTATACAATGAGACCGGTGAGATGGTACTTTACTGGGAAGACCTGGAAGTTTTCGTGGCTTCTACGATACACTTTAGTTCAAAACAGGCTGCTATAAAGGGAGCACTCAGATTTTGTCCATGCTGCTAATTTATTTAATGGAAGGACTCTGAGAAACAGACAAAAAGTGGCAGCTTCTACATTTGCAGCTCTTCCTTTCTTGGTTGTTTATCTGATTCTCAGCTAGTATGAGTGCACTGTGCCTGGTACTCCATGTTGTTGCATGTCAGGCCAGTTGTTAACTGATAGGGAACTGCAAAACTTATTATGATGCCTCACATTGTCATTGCAAACTTGAGATGGGCCAGAATTTAACTGACTACTGAGAAAGTTACTCAAACTCAAGGCCACCCCTTCACAGCCTGATGGAGAGCTCCTCTGGCTGGGTC